AAAGCAGTGTTGTCCCAACTTGGCCACTTAAAGATGAGTGGACTTCACCCCCAAGAATCCCCCAGCCAGCAGGGCTGGCTGGGGAATTCTGGGAGTTGAAGTCCACTCATCTTAAAGTGGCCAAGTTGGGACAACACTGCTTTAGGTAAATACTTCTGAGTTCCATAGCAAGTAAAAATGGCATGTGCCTGTAGCTCAGTCTTGGTTTGAGAATTGGCTCCCCTGTCCACAAAAAGGACATGCGGTAAAAAAACACCCTGGAAGGTCAGAGGAAAGGGAAGGAGAGAATCTCTCAACTGGTCTTTCAGTAAATGGTCTGTGTACTGGCAACCATTTTATACCTAGACAACCTTTATCATCATAGCCAATGTTTTGCGAGAGTACCTACAAAAGCTCTCTCAAAATTCCAAATATTTTTACCGGTCAAGAAGGTTCCCTACGTCTGTTACAGTATATTATATTTAATTTCTAAATTGTATCTTTCTTTGTCAAACGTATTGCATTAATACTGAACTTCGCATATGTTTTACTTTCAATGATAAAAGTCAATGATAAAATACAGCATGCACAACAAACTATTTTAAGTGACCTAAACATGGCTCGTGCTACCTAATTTAATGAAAAGTAGTATCGGACAAATGAGTACTATCCCTTTCCCCATAAAGCAGGTTGTTATTTGTGCAGTAAACATGAAACATGTTGAACTAATACAACTGTAATGTAGATAATTCTGAGATTCAAATAACCACTAGAATCCATGAATAGATTGCTATCTTTCAGGTTTCCACTTCAGCAGAAGAAAAGACATAGAGGTCATTTAGATGTCATAAGGAGAGTACAGTTGAAATCCCTGTGGATTCCATATTGCCTAGTGTGCTGTTGTGTTCAAAGAAATGTCACTTAGTCTAACACAGAAATCCCTCACTGTGTAGTCTGAACCTTCTGAAAGAATTAAATAACTTTTCATTATTTAAAGAATTTACTATTTAAAGAATATAGTAAATGAAATACATTCCTTGATTTCTCTTAAGCATTTTTTACAAAGGGAAAAAATCAACTATATATTGTACTTTGAATTATTTGTTATTTCTTTTGAGTAAGAAATAGATGACTTCATGCAGATGTTAGGTTTGTATTTTGGCATATCTTAACTCTGCATAGGTAATGTTTGGATATATAAATTTTGAATTCTTTACCTTTTACATTTCTGCTAAAGTAAGTCTAGTTGTTCTAGATAGTGATAAATACTCGCTAATATTCAGTACTATTTATATAAATGCTGCTAAGAAAACACCACTCACTTGCAAATATCACAATAAATATTTTAAGAATTTATTTTAAAAAATGATAGAATCCTGGAGTACTTTTTTAAAAGTTGTATTAATAACTGACAAAAGTATTTGTTACAATTATTCGTTTGAAATATTTTTCTTCACTGGTAGGAATAGAAATTATATTTTAAAGTAACTACAGTTGTCATATAATGCTCCCATAAGTAACTCCTAATAGAATACTTCTTGAAACCTATGTAATCAGCATTAAAAACTAGTAACATTTTTTTATATACCCATTGGAAATGGGGCTAAAATATTCTGATATTTCTTTTGAAACTGTCCATGGGAACTGCATACATGTCCATACAGCAAAACCCTATATTACAAAAGAGAAAGCTAAATCTTGCACCAAGATGAAGTTTGAGGAAGTTATTTGAAACCTGAGAAAAGCTGATCCTGATCAGATTGAGTATTATCATATTATAATAAATACATTGCTTCGTTTCTTTGGAGGCCTCTTCCTTCACTTAAAATTCAACCTGGATTTTAGAATAGAAT